ACTCATTTAAGTATATGTGGGCGTCACACCTCACCTTACAAGTCGGTTTTGTGGAAGTTGAGTTCGGCTTAAAGTCCACTATTTAACATATGAAATATATATATATATATATATATATATATATATAATTTTATGAATAATTAATTACAAATAAAGGAAATATAATTTAAAATATATAATTATTTATTTGACATAGGAAAATTGCGGATAAGTTAAGTTATAATACACTTGTGGAAACTCATACACTTAAATGTATCGACCAAAATTGTTATCACTAGCATTTTTTAAAACCTTTTCTAACAAAATTATAATTGTGACTACAACATCAAAAACTTTAAAATCTCGCTTTTAATTTTCCACAGAAGAATTGTACAGTTTCCACAAGAAAGAAAAAAAAAACACAAATGAAGTATATGGATGTGAGCAGTAAAAACAGCTAGTATAATAAAGAAAGGAAGATTAATTGAACATACAAAAAGAAAGAAAATAAATTAAACGTTTATAAGAGTTTTATGAAATAACAGTTAAACAAGTTAACATAAACAGTTGTATTATAAAAAGATAAAATAAGAAAACTAAATGTGTATATAAAAGAGATGTATCTTTTTTTATGTAAATACAAATATTACAATTATTTATTATTATTTAATTTTATTATTTTTTAAGAAAAAATAGAATGATAAAATTAATTCAATTTTATATAAACACTTTTTGAAAGATATTTTAAATATGTAAAATATTTTCTTATTATATAGAAAATATATTGTTCCATTTTCAAAGTCATGATACATGTAATTCCCAATAACAAAAAAGAAAACATGTTTATATTACTGTAGCATTATAATCATGAATATGATTTAAGAGACATGCCAAAACAACTTGCAAAACACGAGTATGTATGCATATATGCATATGCAAAAGATGGAGAAAAACTGTCCCACGTTCCAAATCCTCGAGTGGTCACTAGCTATAGTTGGAGAATGGTAAGACACCAATTAATGCAACTGCACGTCGTCCTCGGCCATTCATTATCTTACCATTTTTTTCAATAAAATATTAAACTAAAATATCTAAATTTGGTTTATCAAAATAAATGTATTTAACTCTTGTACATTTTATCAATCAAATTGAAGAATCGATTAGAAAAAACAAAATGCAAATATATATTTTAGGAAAATTAGAAATATTTAGATTAAAAAATATAAAAGTTGTATTATTTTTATAATTATTCTATGTAAGACTAAATTTTTTTAAAACTGAGCCAAAATAACAAAATTTTCAATTATTATGCAAACAATGTAGTTTTCTATATATTCAATTGCGTGAGAGCAGTTATACTTTGATGTAAACAATTTATTTTGTTAGTAAGTCAGGACAAGATTTACCAGAAATGGAGTAGAATAAATGGCCTAAAAGGTAAAACTAGTTATTTAATCCTTCGTTTTATTTTTATATTTTCATCGAGTTTTAATTTGTAAAAAATAATTCATTTTAATATGATAAAATATTTAAAAATGAATTATGTTTGTAAGATAAAAGTTTGTAAAGTATGAGTAAAAAAATAGCTTATAAAGTCAAGAACTGAAATAATTATATTTACATTATCTTAAACAATATTTTAAAAAAAAAAGTACAGAAGAAGCTTACCTCATGAGATAAGGAAAAATTGGTCAAGGAACAAGTCTCAACGTGTACCGCTAAAAGTTTTCTCACGTCTAGGATCCTATCCGTGGAGATGCCCTGCCACACACAAATGCAAATAATTGTTATTGAAAAAAAAAATACATGGTTTAAAATAAATTAAGCATACCATATACGTGAATAATCTTAACTTCCTGTGAAATTTTGCATGAATATACTATATCTAAATAATTTAAATATAAAGTGAATTTAAATATGAAAACATAATATTATACGAGGAAAATGTAATAACAAAATAAATGTGATTAATTTGGATTTAAAATAAAAAACACTTTTAGTTTTAACCATGACGTCATATAAAAAGAGAAAAAAATATAAGTGTTTGTTACAGAATAAAAAATGATTTTATTATTTAAGAATGATTTATAGGACCATTTTCAACTTCTTAAAATTTACAAACACTAAAACCCCGAGTTACACTGTGAATGTGTCAATATCAAAAATTAGGTATTCTTGAAACTTAAATCACAAATACATTTCGGAAAATAGACATTATCACAACCACCAAGTTGATAATGTGTAGGAAAGCCAAAAATATTTCTCAAACTTTTGAAAACAAATGTTGACATTTTGATATTTAGTTTGAAAGGTGAAATTAAAAGGAACAAAATCACAGTCCAGAAAACAAAAATTAAAAACGAATCTCTATTACACACACATATACGTACATACATATACATACATATATATATATATATATATATATATATATAATATCGATCTGACGAAAGAGCAGAAAATTAAGCGAAACGACTCCATAGGCGGTACCTTGAGAGTAACTTGTGATTCGTCTGGTGTTTCTACTGTAATTTCGATGACGGTGGGCAAAACTGCAGAGGGAAATGTAATTTATATGAGGAGAGGATAAGGTGAAGAATTTGGCGAACCAATGAGATTAAAAGATAAGCAATGCATTGGATACCAGAACGACGGCGTTTGAATGTTGATTCTGTTAGCACGTACGTTAATGGTAATGCAACAAGAAAAAGCGAAAAAAAAAACCGAAACTGATTTGATTCCGTTTGGATTGAAAGCAATATTTGAGAGTTGGAAATACGAATTAACCTTTCTCTTCTCTTTTCTTCTTGTCTCCCTTGGCCTTGTGCGGTTTGGTTTTGCCAGTTTTGGGAGCCATTGCAGTGGAACGGAAGGAATCAATCAGTCGAATTAATAGTGATTAGACGTTTCGGAAAATTTATACACCTTCGGCAGCTAGCTTCTCGTGGACGGAAATTACTAAGAAACAATAGTTGGATTCATCGAGTAGAGAAAACAGAAATATCTGTGCATGTGAAGTGAGAGACGAAATAGAAACAGCATCTCCGTCGTTTCGAGCTCTGGAATTTTTCTTTATATTAAAAGAAAGAAAGTAAGAAGATATATATATTGTTATTATTTGGATGGCGCAAAAGAAAATTAAAGCACCGACGAAGCTGCTGTATAAGAAGATTGATATATAGTGTGGAAATGAATGAGATAGAAGAGAGATGGTGAGGGAATTAAGAGAGAAGAGAAAGAGTGGTTAGGGAGAGAATATAGATTGCGAGAGAGAGAGAGATAGAAAAAGAAATAGCGTGAGTGAGGATAGGATAAGGTAAGCGAAAGCCTGGGATACGCAGGTTAGGGAGAATGTAAGGGTAGCGATTTGGGGCCTCATATATATTTTTGTTCTTTTACACCTCATCGTTCTCGATCTCGCTATAACAACCTTTCACCCTTGTTGACACGCATAAGAGTCTCATTTGAGGCTTTTCTTGTCCTCTTCCACGCTCTTTGGATTGGGCTGCCACCGTTCAGTGGCACCCTCACAAATCACCAACACTACACACGCCTTTATCTATCTATATAATTCTCGCAACAACTCTTCATTTTTTTTATGCCTTTTCTATGCTTTCTTAGGGATAATAATTACGGTTCTTGTGTCCTACTCTCGACCCAAACTAAATTGTCATTCTTCGTGTCTTTGTTCTTGCAAAGTTTGTTATTTATATACAAGTGGAACTTTAGAGTGTTGCTTCTCTCCATCAAGTGAGATGAAAGTTACTAAGGATAGTTTTATCTAGCTGCTTCTAATGTTAGTGTGTGTTTGGATTTTAAGAGAGAAAAATAGTTCATGTACAAAAGTTTTATTATTGTATAACTTTTTAAAAAGTCTTGTCATGATTAAATATTTTACTACACATGTTTTGAGCACACCTTTACCGTATGTGTATGAGTATTATTTTCTTCTAAATAACAATAATTTGACATTGATAAATTATGATTATGTTAAAACAAAATAGTCAGAGAGAGATTGACATATAATTAAGTCATGTTGTCTAGATCCATTAATAATATACATAAATAACACATTCTATAAGATACATTAATTATATTCATTAATTACTGTATTTATTGTCATCTAATGTATTGATTCGAGTATTGGAGTGTCTTTTATCGACATAATCTATATTTGACTTGGAAAATATGATATCTAAGGATTGACATGTGTGAAAGTTTAGATATTAAAATACAAAGAAATGATGGCTGAAACAGGGAATTTTATTTAACAGAATGAATAGTAAACTCTATGAAATTTGTTTACAACAGGAACAAGAATTAAACAATATAACATTATAGAAAAAATTTAATATTCTTCAAGCAAGAATTCCCCAAAGTGTATGATTCAACCTGAAGTAGAAGAAGAGAAGAAGGATGTAAAGGAAGGTGCATTTTCAGAGAGAAAGAGATTAAGTCAGATCTAGCAGAGGAAACAGAAAATAGATCATACCAGTCATGCTTTCCTCATCGAACAAAATCCTTTAATAGCACATTCTCTTTACGTGCTCTCACCCTTTTACAGGTGTCCATTCTCATAGTTCCTTCTTCCACGTGTCCCTTCCTAGCAGCTGCATTTCCCTCCACTTCTCCTTCACTCGTTAAAATACCCTCCCTTTTATGAGCAACCTTGTCCTCAGGGTTGAAGTGAGGATAAGCTTGTTGAAATTCATTAATATCCTGCGAAGTAGCTTCCTAGGGTGCAGTAAAGTGCCATTGAACCAACACATGTTGTATGTCAGTGGAGTTACACTGTATGACTCTTGTATCTAGCACTTTCATTGGACTTATAACAGAGCCAAACTCATTAGTGGTCAAAGGTAAAGGTAAGTATGGTTGAGATTGATTTCCCAAAAACTTTTTGAGCAAAGAAATGTGAAAAATAGGGTGAATTTGAGCTGTCTGAGGCAACTTTAACTTGTAAGCCATTGCACCGATCTTCTCCACTACTTCAAATGGACCAAAGAACCTCATGCTCAGTTTTTTATTCTTTCTAAGAGTCACCGAGTTTTGTCTATACGGTTGCAATTTCACTAAGGCCAGATCACCAATTTGTAGTTGCAACTCTCTTCTTTTTTTTATCAACTTGTATTTTCATGTAATTTTGAGCTCTCATGAGATTGTGCTTGGGCTGTTGCAGCAATTTATCCCTATTGCTTAGAGACTCTTGAATAAGAGAAGGATCTTTAGCATTAACTTCATAAGGAATAATCATAGGGGGTTCCCGAACAAAAACAACTTTAAAAGGACTCATTTTTATACTGTGATGGTAAGAAGAATTATACCAATATTGTGCCCACGGAAGCATAGAATACCATAGCTTGGGACTCTAAAAAACATAGCACCGCAAATACATCTCCAATGTCTTGTTAAATATCTCTATTTGTCCATCACTTTGAGGGTGGTATGTCGAGCTTATTGCCAAAGTAGTGCCTTGAGCTTTGAATAGGTGTTGCCAAAAAGAGCTGATAAAAATCCTATCTCTATCCGAGACAATAGTTCTAGGGAAACCATGAATCTTTGCCACATTATTAATAAAAGCTTCGACAACTGTCTTACTGGTATAATCAACTTTTAAGGGAATGAAATGCCCAAACTTGGACAGTCTATCAATTACCACTAGGACTGTAGAAAAACCGTGTGAAGGAGGTAGATTTGTAATAAAATTCATAGCTATGTCTTCCCAAATCTGTTGAGGTGTTGGCAATGGTTGTAATAACCCATAAGGCAAAGCTGATTGCAGATTCGGGCTATAGTCTTAATAGTTCCAGCATGACCCCCAACTTTAGAATCATGACACTACTGCAAAATTTGATTCTTCAATGTCGTGTCTGCTGGTATCATTAATCTTCCGCTTTTGAAAAGTATGTCATCTTTAACCACAAACTTCTGAGTAGGTAAAGTGCCTTGGGTATGCTGCAGCATCAACTTGCTCAAATCTGCATCCTCCTTTGTCATCTTAGCAATTTGTTCCAGCCATTTGAATTTGGACTCAGACCAAGCCAGCAAACAACTTCTAGACAAAGCATCAATTGGGATGTTCTCTTTTCCAGGCTTATATTGTATAGTAAAATCATAGCCTAAAAACTTAGGAAGCCACTGTTGCTGCTCTGAAGTTTGGAGTTGATGCTCAAGCAATTCTTTCAAGCTTTTCTGATCGGTTTTAATAATGAACTTATGGCCCAGCAAGTAATGTCTAAACTTAGCCAAAGCCTCTGTGATGGCATAAAATTCTCAGATATAAACAGATTGTTTCTGCATTCGAGGAAAAAGTTTCTTTGAAAAGTAAGCAATTGGATGTTGACACTGGCTAAGAATAGCTCCAATTCCTGACCCCGAAGCATCTATTTCCAAAACAAAGGGCTCATCAAAATTTGGAATGGCAAGCACAGGAGCAAATGTCAAAG